AAAGATTAACCGTGGATTTTTATCGTGTATTAGATCGATATTAAAAGCTTTCGTGCACGAGTTTTGTTTTAACGGTGCTGCTCGTTGAACGTGATCACCGTTATTTTTCTCTCTTTTCAATTATGAAAGATACAGTGTAAAGTATATCATCTCTATCAAATAATAAATCGATTTGTTGATAAATTAACATTTGTTAAATGATTTATAATTTGAAAGTAATTTAATTAAGAGTAATTTTCACAGAATCACCGTTGGTATGCGGAGGAAGGCAGAATGTCGTGACAAAAGCGGAAGACAGTCCTGGAAAATACAGCGAGATGCACTCGAAAGGATCGTTGAGTTTCCAGCCGTCGAAAGATTCGAACGAGGAAGCTCGAGGATCGATCAGCCAGGAAGATAGCGCGTTTCTCCAGGAGGAACTCGCACGTAGAAGGGAATTGGCGTTGAGGCAGCATGCCTTCTTTCAGCTTCGTTTGCACATCAGAAGAGGGATGAATCTCGTTGCTATGGATAGATGCGGTGAGATAAAGTTTTACTTTCTTCTTTCTCTTTTCTCAACAAAACTTTTCAAGTTTCTCTTATTTCAATCTTACCATCTTCTTTGAAAAATTGTTAGAAATTATTACTTTAAATTAATCCAAATTTTCATTCAAATATCCGAATTTAAATAACAGTCTACTATTTTTCTCCTATGTATTGTCAATCAAAAGACACGAGTTGTCCTAATTTTCTCTCGCTCCTTTTTTCCACCCCCTCCAAAAAAAAGCCACGACTGATATCACCACAAACACACGAGGATGTAGAATAATAGAATAATATCTTTTGGAGATAGAATTTAGGAAAAAAAAAAAAAAAAAAAAAGAAAAGAAAGAAGGAAACATCGATTGTTACGTTTCAGGCGCGAGTGATCCTTACGTGAAAGTGAAAAGCGGAGGTCGATTGTTGCACAAGTCGCGAACCGTTCATCGCGACCTAAATCCAGTTTGGGACGAAAGTGTGACCCTGCCTATAGAGGATCCTTTTCAGCCTCTTACGTTCAAGGTAAATTTTTCCATTGTTCCATTTTTTCGAATAATTATAATTATCCATCGATTTATTATTACACGCGACACCAGTAAATCGACCGCCGTTATGGTATCCTTGCAACGAATTGGCGAACTAACGCAATTAGAATTTTATTTTTTTTTCCCCTTTCAATTTCTTCGCATCATTGTCTCTTTACCTGTCTCTTTATCTGTTTTATTAGATCGTTCCGTAAATATCGCTCTCGATTTCTCGAATTAAGATGAAAGAAAGATAAGAAAATTTAGTGGAATGATTCTGACAATTTTTAATAAGAGATATAAACGAGCTATCGATTATAGGGAGATTTTATGGGGCGAGTTAATAAAAAGAAGAAAGGGAGGAGGGTGAGATTTTCGTTCGTTCGTTAATAGATCCAGAACGTGTGGTGGTGGTCGCCGAGACTTTTATCATTTTCTTGCTCTTTCTTTCGAAGCTAGCAAAAGACCTTGGTCGTTTCGACAGGTCTTCGACTATGACTGGGGTCTGCAGGACGACTTCATGGGGGCGGCTCAATTCGACCTCGCGCAGCTCGATCTCGGCCAGCCGCAAGACATCGTGTTGGAGTTGAAGGATCACAACAGGCCCAAACAACATCTCGGCGAAATTTATCTGACCGCCACGCTTTGGCCGAAAAATCAACAGGAGAAAGAACAGGTATTTTTCTTTTTTTTTTTTTGAACCGACGTTTCTGCCATTTTATTCTCATCGATTGTATTTTTTATTTACTAAAAGAAAGTTTTGAATAATATATATATATATTATAGAAAAAATAATGGATCCCTTTTTAATAATGGATTTCCTAATATTTATTCTTCTAAAATCTAAAATTCAATTGATATCTCTCTGGAAAATTAAACTTTCTGTTGACAGAACAATTAGATAGGATTTCTGCTTCGAGTACAGGTGTTAGATTTGTGATTTTATTAAGATAATCTTATCAAGATTACACACCTGTTCAAACGGAATTTCAAAGCTTAGTCTTTTTCAATCTGTGTAATCGGAATATAATATCGAATTACATAGAAATTTGTATATATATATATATATATATAATACTCAAACGCTCCATCTCATATTTTTTTTTTAATTTTCAAAAAGAATATCGTATATAGGATTATATTTCAATAGTAAAATTTAAAATCAAGATCGAAATTAAATCATTGAAGGATTTGTTACGAATCTGAAAAGCTGAAAGCCATGATATTAGCGGATTCTATGGACCAAATCCAAGATTAGTCTTGTCTTTTCATGTACATCTTCTCACCTTCGCTGTCTCGCATCTTTTACCAAGGATTAATCAAGTGGAATTAGTGGACGATTACGTTCGAATCCTCTTTCAATAAGAAGTATATTAATGGCACTTAAAATATAATCCTTTTCGAACAAACGATGATTCTATGGCTGCGAATTGTATCCCATTACCGAGGTTGAAAATAGCCACCATTTCTTTATTTGGATAATATGAAGGTATTTCCATATTATCACGATAGGGGCGACACGAGCGTCGTCCTGCCGCTATTGCCAAACGTTACCTTTCTAGCTCAAGTTGTGAACAGAATTTTAAACGTGGAAGATAACTCGATGCGAATAAATGAATAATCTATAAAATAAAATAATTAATAAAATAAAAATAAAATAATAAAAATAATAAAAATAATATAAATAATAAAAATAATAAAATAAAATAAAATAATTAATAAAATAAAAATGTATTAATGTATGATTTTTTTTAGACAAGTGTAGAGATACATTTCTCGTGATAATATCTTTTCTTTATCTCGAAAATTCAAGAGTCGCTTGATTGATCTTAACTACTTTTTAATTATCGTATTTTAATTTATACGTTCGATATAATTGATTTCTTCGAGCAAAAAAAAAAAAAAAAAAAATGATCGATCGATCAACATCGATATCTTCGTACTCAAATTTTCTCGGGGAAACAGACTTCAATTCAGATTGATGTGGCGTAAAAGAAACAACACGCGTTACTTTTGCGCTATTAATTTTTTCCGATTTTAATTGATGACCGTAAAAAAGAAAAAGAAAAGAAAAGAAAAGAACAAACCGTGCAACGAACAATCCGATGTTTTGGCTAGCAGCAGTGATAGCGTGGTATATCGATAAACGATAAGTCCCTTAACTATGAACTTTGACAAGCTGTGCAATTGAAATGCAATCGACGTGAAAGAACGACGTCAAAGTGTTTTGGAAATGGAAAGACGTGTAATACGAACGAATTGCTCGTTTTATTATTAAACCGAGTGGAAGAACTGGAATAGCCCGGTTTATTATTTGCGGTTTGGCAAAAGGATCGTATGTAAGATAAATTGATTCAAATATAACTTGGAATTGGAAAAATTGAATAAACTTGTGACGACATAAAAAGAAAGGAAATATTAATTAAAATACATTATTTACGAGCAAGGAGTTGCGCAAACTTGATCTAACCGATCATTATTAGCCTCACACCAGAGGGTTCTGCGTGTCGAGCTTAACGACACAATCAATATTGCCGGTAAAAAGTTGAAGGGGATCACAGGCTTGCGATTATAAGTAGAACGAAGAATCGGATTTTCTAATTTGACCCGAATCATTCTAAAACGATTGAAAAAGATTAGAACGTTAAAAAGGATATATGCTCGATAAGACTGGTTTAAAATAAAAATAAAAAAAAAAGAAAAAAGAAAAAAAAATTTCGATTTCGATCTTTATTGATTCGATTCTTTTATTATCATTCGCGTCATAATTTTTTTTATCTATATAGAATTTTTTCGTTTATAAATATGCATGAAATGAATATGAATTAATAATTTCGAAAGTGAAATTGATAGACATAATTGGAATCGATTAAGATCATAATTAGAATTTCGTTGAATTTTTTTTATGAAAGTATAATTTGAATTTTCTTTTATAACGATACGTCAATGTGTCGATAAGATGATAAAATTGGAAAAAACTATTCGCAGAAATATTTTGTCGATTTCTGGGTGTTAATTAATAGAATTGCTTTATGTAACGTATATTAACGTATATTATACATGTAAGTTAAGTACATCAAGGATTTTAAAAGGAAATTAATGAATCGGTCAATTTAAATAAAATCTTTTAAAAAAACTTTTAAAAAATTTTAAAACAAGCATCGATGAATAATTTATAAAGATATGTTTTAATTGTAAAAAGTTCATTATTTGTAATTACATGATAAAAACATACATGCATTATTCAACACTTCGATAGTAGCCATTATTACAATTTACAATTTCGATTTTATTTAAGCGTGCATTTTAATTTTAAAGTTTTATGAACAATTCAAGTCTTTTGGAAACATATGACGTAATATGAATTTGAAAATTAAAAAGAAATTATTTATTAGAAAAGAAAAATTCAAATCCGTTAAAAAATTTAATCAATTGTCTCTCAATTGCATTACGATAGGATATAAATAATTAAATATTTTAATTAAAATATTTAATTAATTAAAATAAAATATTTAAATTTCAAATATTGTAAAAATAAGAGAAAAAGAATAAAGTTGAGAAAAGAAAAGTAACGTATCTGAACCACTTTATTTCCAATTATTCGGCCCAACGCCACATTAAAGTAAGTAAGTATACGTTCTTATGTATACATATACTTACTTACATCATACATGATATCGTAATGTTTACCTCTTGTTGGGAATGGAGAGGGAAAGAAAGGTTCGGCTGTCGAGTTAAGCTGTATCGTTTAGCAGTCACACAGCGACATTCGAGCAAGTACGGTTCTCGCGTTTTCTAAAACAATTTCGTTTTCTTTTTATTTTCCTCTTATTTATTACATTATTTATATATTTTTATCTATATTTATATCTAATTCGTTTAAAATATTCCCCGATATGAATTTTAAATTATGAATTAAATTATATTTAAATTTAAAGTAAAATCTTGTATTTTCAACGTAAAATTATGAAATATTTCAAAAGAATCGAGAAAGAAAAAACAAGAAAAAAATTAAAAGCAACGTGTTGTTCGTTTACATAAATCTTTTATCTTCACTTATTATCAACATCTTCTACGTTACAAAGCAATATGCAATTGTGTATACAAAAGTGTGTACCAATGAATAGACGGCCGTGAAAAGAAGACACACAAAATGGAAACAATCGAAAGTCGTTAAATTGCAAAATGGTGTGAAGTGTAGGCTGCAAAGTGGTTAAGTCGAATCTCAGCTTCGAGCACACGTGACCGTCCATGTTTCGATGACTCAGTGACACTAAGTGCTCTGGCAATTTGTGCTTGAAGAACTCATTTGTGCAGTGTGGCAACAAGAAGATTTTTAATACGAATCGAATTGGAAATTTTGAAAGATTTTGATTTTGCTTTGTGCGTTTGATCTAGATCGATTCCAAATCGTAGAAGAAATCTGTATAGGATGAGAAGTTCGCTTGTCTTATCAACATCGATTTGAATGAAATTGAGTGTTATTTGAAGACGTGTGCACGAAGTATTAACGATTTATGAGAATTTATGCAAGTGAGCAATTGTGCGAGTGAGAAGCGTGAGAAATTTGATAAAATTTATGCAAGTTTCTTATTGCGTGTATTTCTCTATTCTGCCTGCTTTTAAAGTCTCGTCGATAATTAGTGTTAATTTGAAAATACGTATAAGAAAAGAAGAAATAAAATTTTTTCGATGTATAAGAGGAAAACAAAAATACGATTTAAAAGATTTAAAAACGGATTTAAAAGAACTATAGAAGAAGATTTAATTCTAAAAATAATTTAAATTATCAATTGAAATGAAACTTTTAATGACATTATAAACTAAATCGCGCAATGTTATTCGAAAAGAAGATTTAACGGTATTGTTCTTATTATTATCGCGTAAAACATCACGTGCAAAAAAGAAGTTGAAAATATTACGACAGAAAAAGAAATTCATCCTGTTGAATTTCATTATTTCCAATATTTTTTCATAAATTAAAAAATCTTTCGAAATATATAAAAATAACTTCGATGAAATCGAAAGTCTAAAACCATAAATACGGGAACACGCGAAGTGGAACGGTTTTGCAAGAAATATTTAACGAATTAAAATTTAGACTTTCCATCGATAACTAACCTTTTTTTTTTTAGAGAAACCAACAATGATCGTAATTACGTTAGCAATTGTGACCGAGACAAATTCGCGGAGTCGCATAGAGAAACATCAATTAAGTACATGTTTGCGTGTAAATAGCGGAAGAGGCCGTTTATTGGTCACGTAAGTGATACGAAACATTGCGAAGGAAATATTTTTCAACAGTCAATCGTGCAACGCGAACGCGTTCTTTCCTTTTTACCCATCTATCGCTCCTCCATATTCGCTTCCTTCCTTTTTATTCCGACGGATACGGAATACGGGAACGATGATGGACTCTGAGAAAAAATGTAATCGAACGGCCATCGGAATTGATCAAAACATGTCTTCGATGAAAAGTTCGAAAGAAGAGACGTCAAATTTTCAAAAATCGAAATCTCAAACGGCGGTAGAGGCAGAATCATCGGCGGCAGGCTCGTCGGGAGGGAGTGGTTGTTTCTCGAGGCGCGACAAGGTGACCGATATTCTCGACAAACAATCGTCCACCGATTCCGCGAAAATATTCAAATCTTCGAGATTCGGGAACGAGGAGAGTCACGAGAATAGATGGAAGAAATTTTGGGACCATCATCGAAATAAATTTCGACAGAGGTGCGAGAAGGATCTCGCGACGAGGAATCGATCGCTCGAGGAGATGACGACCGAGGTGGACGCGGTGTTTCGAAAGGCGATTCGAAATATTCGTTTCGATCGATCTTCCACCGCGGACGAGAGCTGTCCAGAGAAGGATAACAAGAGTGGGAAAGGGACGGCGAGCGTGTCGCAAAGTGTGGAGAAATCGTTACAGCAACGATCGAGGTTGGCTCGTTCGAAGGAGGAAGGTACGTTTACGAACAAAATCGAAGAACACGACGATCCTTCGCCTCTTAAAAACAGCGAAGGGAGAGGGGAGGATGAAAATACGTTGAGCGCGATCAGTCGTGCCAATTTTCCCCTCGTGGAAATTAATAGGGGGGAGGGGGAATGGAATGAAAACACGAGGGCAAAAAATCCTTCGATCAGGAAATGGAGCTCGTTGGAGAATTTATCCATCAACGCGAGAGGAGGGAATTCTTGCGATCGGAGCATAGAGGGCCTATCGATCGAAAGAGTAATCGGATGCAAGGAAAAGAGAAGGATCGAGTCTTTGAGGTCTTCGTTGGAAAGGAAAATGGGATCTGTGGAGAGGATGTTGGAGGATCAGATAGAGAAAATATGGGACGAGAAAGTGGAGAAACATCCGTGGTTGTTGCCTATCGACAATTGGATCGTTGATCGTTGCAGATCTTCTCGAAAGTGTTCTTCTGCCGTTCAGAACAGGAGAAACGATAGTTTACACACGGAGGAAGGGAATTCGGTGGAGAAAGAACGAATTGAAGAGAGTTTCGATTCTAAATTTATCGCTTCGGGAACGGGAGACGGAGAGGGAAGGGTGGAGATGAAATCGATTGAACATTTGAAGAAGCCGGAAAGATTGAAATTCGAAAATATGAACTCGAATTCGAGATTGAAGAGGCTCGATCAGTCGAAGGAGGGAGAAGTTTTGGAGATGAAAGATGTAAAACACTATGACCTATTTGATAAACTGAAGGACAATGTTAAAGAGAAAATGGAGGATATTCACAGGGTAGATTCGACTATTTTTTAACTTTTTTAAAAACGTAGAGAAATTGAAAAAAAAAAAAAAAGAAAAAGAAAATGACGATGGATAGATCGTTGATAAAATTTTTATTTTTAGGGGAATCAATCAACGGTTATAATCTGTATTTCAAGAAAAACAAAATCATTATGAGTATCATTAAAAAGATTAAAAAACAAAATTTCAGAGCTGAAATTTTAAAATAGAAAATACGACACGTTCCCTAGAAGGGAATTGAATCATCCTACGTTTTATATACGTTTAATTTCTAATCTTTATTTAAATGATTTGGTACCTCTTAAAATGTGAGATTCGATAAAAAACTTGATTCGAGACGAACGATAACATTCGTAGATACAAAGTGTTGACGTTTGTGAATTTGATAAGAAGCTCTTGTTAACATTTAAAATCACTTAACTTATATTTTTACTTAATTCGTATTTTTTTTTTTTTTTGACAGTTTCTGCATTTCGAATAACATGATTTTTTTCAAATTTCACCACACAAAAACATTTTGTTCACTGTTTCGAAAAATAAAGTTTAATGTATATATATACATACAATACATATTGTGTCTATGTATGCGTGTGTGTATTAGTGTAGAATTACGATTAAACTTTGATTGATTCCCTTTGTACGCGTGGATACAAATCGAACGAACAAGTCGAAAATTAATATATATATATATAATATAAGTAAATATTTTTTCCGGCGCACGTGTTCGATCTGAAACTATTATTTGCAACAATGAAACTTTTTTTAAATTTTTTATCCTCGATTCTCCAACGAATATTTTACGTGGCGTATTTTTTATTCACAGTATTTCCAAAGGACCAATCGATTGGCAGATGTAAATAGACGATTAAAGTCGCAAATATGGAGCTCCGTGGTGACGATCGTTCTCGTGGAGGCGAAGAATTTGCTACCTATGGATATAGAGGGCCTCTCGGATCCCTACGTCAAATTTCGGTATAAATAAACATCATTATTCTCGAGTATATAAAAAAAATATCATCAAACTAACTTTATCGTTCGTTAAAAAAATTCACGTCCTCCAACAACAAAGATGTCTTCCAACAATTCCAACAATTCCAGTTTAAATAATAATTGCGCTCGTCTTCTCCTTGACTCCAGTCTTGGGACAGAAAAGTACAAGTCAAAAGTGGTGCACAAGACCTTGAATCCCGTTTGGTTGGAGCAATTCGATCTTCACCTATACGAAGATCCCTATTTAGGGCAGGAGTTGGAGGTGACGGTGTGGGATCGCGATAAAAGCCATCAGGATGACTTAATGGGGAAGACGGTGATAGATTTGGCAACGCTCGAACGCGAGACGACTCACAGGCTATGGCGCGATCTCGAGGACGGTTCTGGAAACATTTTTCTCCTGTTGACCATCAGTGGAACTACCGCCAGTGAAACGATCAGCGATCTAGCTGCCCACGAGGAGACTCCTCGCGAACGCGAACAATTGTACCAAAGATATTCAATGAGAAACACGTTGCAGAGGTTGCGAGATGTTGGCCATTTAACTGTGAAGGTTTGTCAAATTTCCCATTTTTTTTTTTTTTTTGCTTTCTAGTTTTTAAGATTCGTGAAAAAATATGGGAAAATTTTCTTTTGCAAAAATATTTCGCCTTTGTTAACGAGTTATTAACAAAGAAAAAAAAAAACACCAATCACGAAGTCGCGACAGTAGCTTGAACAAATCCAAACAATATATAAAAAAATGCATCGAATGTAACAAATATTTGTCTATCGATAAAAAATTACATCGAATTATATTACGAACGATACAAATTATAATATTCGATATACGTTGCTTGTTCATATTCGGTCAGCGGCACGTAGCCAACACTACCGCTCGACTAAGCACGTGTTCCATGATCGTGCGCCAATATTTTTTCTTAAAAATTTAACAATAGTGAAATGAAAGTTTTTTGCAAAGGAAAATGTTTCTCGAAATTACTTCAAGAATCTCCAGTTAATATCTCCATATTTTTTGAGACACTCTGTACACGTACTTATACTCTGTATATATTTATCCAGGTATTCAGAGCGCAAGGTCTCGCGGCGGCCGATTTGGGCGGGAAGAGCGATCCTTTCTGCGTGTTGGAATTGGTGAACGCTAGATTGCAGACTCAGACGGAGTACAAAACGCTGGCTCCAAACTGGCAAAAAATATTTACTTTGTAAGTTACATTTAATTTTGTTTCGTGAGGTATAAAATTTACAATACGATCTCTTTCACAGCAACGTGAAAGATATTAATTCGGTGCTGGAGGTGACGGTGTACGACGAGGACAGGGACCACAAGGTGGAGTTTCTCGGGAAAGTTGCCATACCTCTTTTGAAGATAAGGAACGGTGAAAAACGATGGTACGCGTTGAAGGACAAGAAATTGAGAGGTCGAGCAAAAGGGAATTCCCCCCAAATTCTGTTGGAAATGACCGTGGTGTGGAACGTTGTGAGAGCCTGTGTACGAACGTTGAATCCCAAAGAGAAGAAATACATGGAACCGGAGATAAAGTTCAAGAGACAAGTGTTTCTGCGTAACGTTCTCAGATTGAAGGCAATCATCGTTATCGTTATCGACATTGGAAAATACGTGCAGTACGTAGTACTTTTTCTCTCTTTTTTTTTTTTTTTTTTTATTATTATTCGAATACCGATTTATTATTATATAACGATACACGTGACATTTCACACGCAAATTGTATCGCATATTTTAATCATAAATTTCTGTTCGTGACACGTTATGAATATCGAGACAATGATTAATAATGATCGATGCACAATCTCTTATACATATTTGAAAAATTTGTTTATCGGGAATTCACTTTACGAGAATTTATATATTCAATATTGTATCGAAAAAAAATTTATCAAAATCATTCGATAAATAGATTATTTTTCTCTTTTTTTTTTTTTTTTTTTTTTTTTTTTTTTTTTTTCTCTCTTCAAATTATTAGGAGCTGCTGGGAATGGGAAAGTAAAATGAGAAGCATCTTTGCACTGGTTATCTTTGTTTTGGGCTGTTACTATTTTGAGCCTTACATGTTCCCTGGAATAGCACTCCTTATCTTGTTAAAATACTATCTGGTACGTAAATAAATTAATCAGAAATATATATATATATATATTTTTAAACTATTTCTCTAATTTATCGCTATCTTTATGAATTATTGACATTTGTTAACACATTTATCTTACGTATTTGCTAATCCATTACTTCCATTGATCCCTACTTTTTTTATTTGCTAATTTTAAAAGAGCTTGCAACATATATAATCTAATGTATAAGAATTCTTACTTAACAACATTTGTAACATATGAACATTCTGTAGACCAGTAGAACGTATCCCATTCAGCAAAGCAATAAACCTTGCACTAAATTTCTTATTTTTATCTGATACTAGTCAATAGAAGCTAGTATATTTCCCTTTTAAAAAGCCAAAAATGCTAAAATTAAAGCTGCACAGGTATGTACTCGGCATAAAGTTGAATCGATTTTAGCTTTTCTTCTTGCCACATAAGTGCTCTCCCCATGAAACTTTATCGCCTGGAATTTAATGCATAAGTAGATGCAACGCATATCTCCAAGAAGAAATGATGATCCTTGTGCACTTTGCACATATTGATTCAATAACAACAGTACCTGAAAATTCATTGCCTATGAATTTTTCCATCAGATTTACCATCAGAGCCACCTCTCGCAATTAAAATTACACAAATTTCTCCAGTTTTCTTCATTATTTAGCGTTATCCTGTACGATACCATGTACGATAAATCAACTTGCTTGATTTTTACCTGCATTGCTGCATGTCCACATCCTTTACTGCCTGTGCCAGCTTTGCGGGGATGGAAATGGATTGAAACAATGGATTTCCGGACAGGTCGCGATGATAACCGGTACGCCCTTGACCCATCACACCACCCATTCGCACTTTCACGACGAGATCGACGAAGGTCCAGCCACTCCCGGGGACGACGACGACGACGACGACGACAAGGATAAAGTGAGTTTATTCTCCACCGCTTTTTTAAAAAACATTTTTTTTTTTTTTTTTTCAGAAATCGAAATTTTGATCGAACTTTGATTCGAACAATGGAAAATTTATAGATGTTCGGCCATCGATAACTGAAGACTCCTTTTCGATGAATGTTACATGCTCGCGTATAAATGTCACGAATCTCTCAGTTGTATTCTCTTCGATTCATCAAATTTTCAAAATCGGCAAAACGAGGTCACCGTGTTAAAAATTAAACTTCAACCTTTCTCTGTTATTCCCTGTTTTCTCTTCTCACCATCGAATATCAAAATATATTCTCCATAGTGTATTTTTCAAAAAGAAAAAAGAAAAAAATTCTCGATGATGATGCTTCTTATTTTTTTCGCAGGAAGAGAAGAAAAGTCTGAAAGAGCGGTTGCAAGCGATTCAAGAGGTGACCCAGACCGTGCAAAACTCGATCGGTTACATAGCGAGCCTCTGCGAAAGGGTGAAGAATCTCTTCAACTTCACTGTCCCTTATCTCAGTTACCTGGCCATGATATTGGCAATCCTGGGCGCCGTTGTCCTCTACTTCATCCCCCTTCGATACCTCATCCTAACGTGGGGCGTGAACAAATTCTCGAGGAAGATCGTCAGGCCTCACTCGGTTCCGAACAACGAGTTCCTCGACCTCATATCCAGAGTGCCCGACGACGAGGAACTCCTCAATTACAGGTTCGTTTCTTTCATTGAAAATTAACCCTTTGCACTCCAGACCTTCATAAGATTACCATAAAATAATTATATAATTATATAATTATAAAAGGGCTTAGAAATCTATTTATGAAGCGATATTCTGAAAGAATCAAACACGAATAAATATTGAATATATTCAAGTTGCTGCAACAATCTCCAATCTCCAATCTCTGGTGACCGAGAGTCACTGTTGGAGAGCAGGCCTGTTTCGCTCCAACAACTCCACACTCAGACCTGCGTTCGATGGCCTCATAAGATTATATGTAAAGGGCTTAGAAATCTATTTATGAAGCGATATTCTGAAAGAATCAAACATAAATAAATATTAAATATACATATATTCAAGTTGCTGCAACAATCTCAGTGGTGACCGAGAGTCACTGTTGGAGAGCAGGCCTGTTCGCTTCAACAACTCCACACTCAGACCTGCGTTCGATGGCCTCATAAGATTACCATAAAATAATTACTCATATAATAAGATTACACCTCATAAGATTATACGTAAAGGGCTTAGAAATCTATTTATGAAGCGATATTCTGAAAGAATCAAACATAAATAAATATTAAATATACATATATTCAAGTTGCTGCAACAATCTCAGTGGTGACTGAGAGTCACTGTTGGAGAGCAAAGGGTTAAAGAAAGAGATACAACAATAATTAGATATAATTGTCCGTTGATAAATTTGTTTTAAATATTATAACGTTGTTATAATATACGTGCAGGGAGTTGAAACCGTTGCCGACCGCCGATTGCGAGAAAGGATCTGGAAGTCCAGGCGTGTCGAATCAGATGCGGAGGGAGCAGAGGAAGAGGCACAAGGCCGCGTAGCAGCATGCCCCGCGGCCGGAAGTCGCGGGTCTACGATCACCGAGCATCCTGAGGACGGTCCTGCTGCGCCGGAATAAGCGCCAGCGAAAGGGATCAGCGGAGAATCCGGATGTGATCGACATAGACTGAGAAACGCCACGTTTCCACACTCACCGTAGTCGTTTTAGCTAGAAGGGGTTGGGGGGGGGGGCGGTAAAATTTAAATCGAAATTTACGAATAAAGTTACTCCCGAACGAGTCGATAATATAAATCAACGGAACAATCTAAAGTGGAATAATGGAAAATTTGATCGAGAATCAAAAACTTTTAAACTTTTACCAAAGTAACTCTATTCGAAATTTTCAACTTTTTTGGGTTAATCAACACTGTTTCCGATATTTAAATCGGCGTGGTATGCGCCTCGATCGTTTCGAATCGTTTCGTTCTCGATGATCGATGAAGATAAATGTAAAATGTAAATGCGTTAGAGATTAGCTCGGGAGGAAGGAGAAAGAGATGGAAAAAATATGGTTAGGAAGTTGCAATTTCGATTTATTGGCAAGGATTATTTTTACGTAGGATAGAATATTGGTAGATTCGTTTAACTTTGGAAAGCATGTTTACACGTTATACAATCATGGACGAATTCTCAAGGAGCATACCAACAAGGGGGAAAAGATTATCAATAGGTACATTTCGGTTTTATAAATTGGAACGAGTGAAATCGATAAATTTGATAAAAAAAAATATATATATATGTATATTCTCGTCTAGAAATAATCTAGATAGCGTTTTTTTTTTCTGGAACGTGTAAGATAAGAGAAAACGACGACGACTGCGTGCCATCGTCAGGGAGATAAGGAAAGGTATATTTCTTCTTTTTTCCATTCATCGTTTCTCAAACTATGTTTGAGAAAGTGATAAACCGAGTATTCTGAAAGTATACCTCTCTTTTGTACGGGGGAAGAGGGGAATGTATCGAAAAATAGCGCAAAACATTTAATAACCGTGCATTAGTCAAAAAAGTAAGTAGACGGAGAAGAGATATAAGAGGGATGTAAAGAGAGTTTTAAGGGGAGGAAAAAAAAGGAAAGTGTACATTACACGAGAGTATTTCCCGGCCAACGGGTTATCCTCGTCGATCCGTTTCGTCCATCGGTGTCGTAGATATAGCTGCTACAAAATCGTTACCAGTGACAGTGAGGTGTTCGAAGATTTAAAAGGAGAGAAAAGTTGAAACAAAAAAAAAAAAAAAAAAAAAAAAAAAATGTAAAAAAAATGTAAAAAAAAAAGAAAAAGAAACAAAAAAGACAAATATGTTATTCCGCGACGGTCTCGTCTAGCCGAGAAATTTCGCTCGACGAGCTGTTTCTTCCATTTCACGAACGACGAAAAGAGCCCATTAATTATTCTATAATATAATATTTCACGTATGTTTATTTTAATAAAAAAAGAAAAAAAGTTAAATTATATAGTTCGATCAGTATAGTTAGTCTATTTTTATTTTTTTAATTTGCGCTACCTCTTCGTTGCGTTAAAATCGTTTAAACGATTCTATCATTTTATTAGCCTATTCGTCGTTCGCGAAATCACGTATTATTTAATCTTTTTATCGTTGAGACGTTTTTCCAAGTGTCTCAAAGTTATTCTCTTTATATAGTATTTAATATATTAACGAATTCTTTGTTCCAACGCACATTTTCACGCGTTAGTCCATCATCTCCTCGAGCATGAACGTAATATGTCGAACGAATGGCGATTGTATCCTCTTCGTTCGTGCTTAGATCGGAGAACATATCAAGTTTAAAGATTTTAAGAAGTAAGACAAAAAGGAAAAGAGATATTGAATTTATAATAGAATTACCAGGATTTATTTGTACCAGGAAATCTAGTTATATGGTAATCCGATGAAGAAACCGTGAAATATATATTTATGCGTGTGAAGATGCCCGAAAGAAACCGGAGAAACACAATGAAAGGGAGGAAAATAAACGTTTCTTCGACACCGGTTCTATTACTATTTTTATAACAATAATAGATATCGTTGTCCTCGTAACAATAGCACATAACCTGATTTCGCGATTAGATAACATTCCAGAGTTTGTAACTTTCTTCGTCCACGAACGTTCCTTTTGTTCCTTTTTCTTTTCTTTTTTATCGTGCTTTTACTCTCGAAAAGCAACGTTTCTTTCTTTCTTTATTTATTCACATCATTATTCTACCATTTCTGGATAGTCACGATAGTTGCAACGTCGCAAAAGCGTTAATAAACGCATAAAGATATCAACGTCGCAATTACACGAATTATACGAAACGACGAAAGATATTGTAACGATTGTTTGGAACGTATTCAAGGATCGTATATAAATAATTCGTTCGTATTTTTATTCAAATATTACGTTACACGATTAAAGTGGAAAAATGATCGAAGATGAAGGAATATTTTTTTTGAGTAATGATATTCCCAATTTGATTTTCACCGTGGCTCGAACATGCTCGAGGAGGGAAGTAAAACGCGTTCAATCAATTATTCCTAACCGCGATTTTACGGTTCGTGCCAGCCGAGAGACGAGAAAGTTGAAAGGGGAAGGAGAAATATCCATTTTTTTTCTCGCTTTTCTAACTCGGAATTTCAGTGCACCGTCATCATCATATTTCCCGAATCATTCCGCCATCGACCCTCTTCTCGTTTCTTCCATTCTCATGAGAAAAAGAAAATTATATCCCTCCATGTACTTACATCTTCGCTTACATTTGACCCTTTGAAGCGTTACGAGTATTTTTTTTTTTTTATGCTTAATTTCATTTTTTTTCTTCTTATTATATTATTGTTTTTCTCTCGAACAATTTGTATCGTGCTTTTACTTTGATATGATCTAATCTGTATGTGTGTATTTTTGTATTAAAAGAGATATTAAAAAAGAAGATATTACGACAGATTTAAAGATAGATTTAAATTTGGACGTAATTTTTTATGATAAAAAGAAAAAGTCATATTTGTATGTTATCATATTTTATAATTATATCGAAGAACGATAATTCCTAATGATAAAAAAAAAGAGAAACGCGTTATATATATCTTGCTCTAAAATGATATTTATTGTAATATTTATTAAAATTTACAAAATTGTTACAAAATGCATCATAAAGTCGCAAATTTATCTCACACCTCTGCTTGGATCGACCCAATAATAATCGAATCAAATTCATACGCAAGAGAATTGAGGAAATGATTCGCGCTTCAAAGGGTTCAAATGTAATATTCGCGCTCTCTATTCATCCGCCAATTGTGGGCCTAATTCACGAGGAGGCAAGAACGCATACATACTTGCAGAAACACAGTGAACACTAAGAGGCGTGCGAGAGGCGTGTATGTGAAATACGAGAGAGAGAGAGAGAGAGAGAGAGAAAGAGAAAGAGAGAGAGATAGGTAGGCGATTCTTTTTTGTCATCTAGTCAACGAACTTTCTTAAGCAAGCTTGAGAAACTTGTGATAACCGTGGATTCAATTTCTTTTTTTTTTTTTTGCGTTTAGAGGAATGCTTAGCGATTTTTATGCGATTTAAAATTTGCCGATCGAATATTCTTCCCTTCGGATTATTGGATTTTCGATTTTTGTTAATTTTAAATCGTTAACGGTTGATAAATGTCACGGTATGTTTTCTATTAGTCATTCCTAGTGACATTCCTTTCGTGTAAATTGCATGGATACGCATGGAATCGTTAATGAAATTAATAATAATAATAATAAAAATAATTGAATTTATACACGAATGTTTTTTTTTTTTTTTTTTTTTCCAAAAAATTTATAAGCGTTTAATTTAAGTAAGTGGTGTATCCATCCAATTTTATCTTTTACGCGTGTCCAATTACATTGAGTCGTGTTGAAGGGTCGGTTGTCGAGAGAGTCGACAAAATGGTAACAGGAGTGATGAAACAACCGTCAAGGGATTCGTCGTAACAGATCCTGAATATAACGCGATTGTATACGAAATTTAAAATGGTCGACCACGACCACGAACAGCCGACGCTTCTCGAACGAAAACACTGTTCGCGTTTTACGTCGTCTTTTTCTACTCTTCCAATTTTGTACTTCCAATAGGTGTGTAAAAAGCAAAAAAAATTGTTTCTTCGACTTTTAAAACCATTTTCCATTTCCACCAATTGAAATGAAAAAAAAAAAAAAAAAAAAAAAAAAAAAAAAAGGAAAAAAAATTGCTATTTCGAACTCGTTTAAATATTGCTCGCTCGCTCACTCATTTCTATTTCGACTCGTTTCTTTCGGGAATGCGGGCACGCAAAGGACACACGAGCGATCACGTACATTCACGCGCATATTCATTATATTATCTTCGTGCACGCACTTTCGAGTTTGCATGCTCCAATTTCTTCGTGTTATATGAATCTTTATTAAAGTGTTTTAGCCGTTAAGGGGGAGAGGAGAGACGGTCGAGAGGGGAGACACAGAGAACAAACACGTAGAAAGAACGAAGGAAAGAAAGAAAGAAAGAAAGAAAATGGAGAGAGAGACCAGGATGAATTCGATTTTCACACATATATTTTTCGCGAATATTATATCCTCTCTGGATGAGTGTTCCTCGATATATATTTATTTAAAAAAAAAAAAAAATTCCTTTTACTCGCTGCCTTTGGATAAATATTATTATATCGTGTCGTCGTTTCAAGACCGATCGATATTTAGAAGTGTACGAGGAGAAGGAAGGTCGAAGTACAAGTTAATACGTTTTTTATTTTACCTTTTTTCCGCGATCATTTTCATCGAGGTGGAGAAACAGTCGTGCAACACTGATCCAGATGAAAGATACAGATCAACACATATACACACACACATAAACACACGTCTGTTATTACTTCCTAAACGATAGGAAACGAACGAACAACATTAAATTTAAGATATTTAGATAGAATTCGAAAACGGAATTGTGATTCGACCGGCGTATCAATCGATTAAATGCGATTCTCGAAGAACGAAATTGAAATCATATGTATGAGGCAAAGAAAGTCCGGACCAAGTCCAGATCGGATGATCTCGATCGTACAAAAAGAATTAAAAGATAAAAAAAAAAAAAAAAAAGGAAAAAAGGAAAAGAAACTAAAATAAGAAAAAATATAAACATAATTATCAATATATATTAAAAAAAAGAAATATATATATATATATACATATATATGTATATATGTATATGACTGTTGTTTAGATCGAATTCTGGAACTTGGTCGGCGTTCTCGGTGTTCCGACAAAATGTACTTATGACAAAAGGTGATAAGAGTCGTTATTATATTCATAAAATTAAAAATAAAGCAAGCTTTTAATATCCAAAACGATTTATTTTCGTTTATTTATTGGAAAAGAATATCAATATGAATTGCAATGCATCTAATGTCGAAAAATTTTCAAAGAGTACTTTATCGATATAAGAAGAACTCTGTTTCACCTGAGCGAATGTCCTAGACCTTGTGCGAACAGTGAAAGTCAAAGTCGAGATAAACTTCGTGATGTTATCGAAGAAGCATCCAATTAGTTATCTAAGAACGAATTATCTTCGTTCTTGGAGATTATTTAAATGTGATTTATTCATTTTTTTACGATAAATAAATTTAAAGTACAATAGTAAAATACATAAAAAAAGTCGATTAGCTTGATTTTTGAGTAATTCACTTATTATTATAATATTAAAAAAATATTAATACTATGCAAAAAGTCGCATAAATAATACATTATAGAGATAATTTTCATGTTAAGTAACATTATATAATCAAGTTATTCAATACGGTTATTCAACTTTTAAGAGTATCTTTAAAACGACAAATTTTATATTTTTAGCAATCAGTGGATCAAGCATCGAAAGAAACTTTCATGCCAGGAAGAAATATTTCGTAAACGCCAGAACTTGAATACAGTTTTTGTTATACGTTTTCGAGTATTACGAATCTATTCAACCTATTCATACGTACCAATGGAAAGTTATGAGTGCGAGCCGGAACTGGTCGATCCAGTTTTCACAATTTAAGCCGGAGAACACATCGCGACAAATCGGTTTGCTTCTCTTTCCATTTGACCTCGTAATCGTAATTTTCTAAATTATTTACTTTCCAGTAATGTTTCGATATTCTATTTTCCTTGATTGCATTCTATTAATTCTATTTTTCGTGTTTAATCTATATTATTACGTATCATGTTTATGTACAATTTTTAAAGTTTTTTATTATAATGTAAATATGTAATGCAGTCAAATATAGATAAGGAGAGCAAATGATGGAAGAAGGATAGAGATAGAGTAAAAATATTGAAATCAACGCCATCTTCAGTGTGCCGCAAATGAAACTCGCAAAGAAAGGATATAAAATAATAAGAGAAGGACAGATATACGATAAGAATTGATCATCAGCGCCATCTCTGAGAAGTTTTAAAAAGATTGTTCTCTACATACATGTTATTAATCATCGAGAGATGGCGCTAGCGATCATTTCTTATCCTATCTCCATCCTTCTCTTATTATTTTCTATCCTTTCTTTGTGAGTTTCATTTGCGGCACTCTGAAGATGGCGCTGATTTCAATATTTTTATCTATCTCTGTCCTTTTCTCACTACTTATTCTCCTTGTCTATATTTGCGATGCAAAATTTGCGCGCTTAAGAGATAGCTCTAATATCTGATTTATTTTATTATTATATTATTTTTCATCTGATTAAAAATTAAAAATCTTGACATAATCAATTCGAATCAATTTTTATATATAAATATGTAAAGTATAATTGGAGATGTAATTTAAATCTAAATTAATTACAATTAAAATGACAGTAAAAAAATAATAAAAGAATTGTACAATTGGCATTAAATTTATTGCTGAAATATAATCTTAATCTCTGTGTGTATCGTGAAATGTCAAGTTATATGGATCAAGACCTTTCTCACGAAAAATATTTATCGATTAATAAGTGCAATCTATTTTAATATAATATATGTATGCAACGAAAACACACACACACACACACACACAATATTTTTATTAATTTTTAATCAAATCGAATCAGTGATATTACGAAAAACTCGTACGATACACGTGAGAAGAAACAAAGAATGTTCGTTCATTCGTAAAAATCGGCCTGACACGCGACATTTGAAATTTACTGGGCGCGAAAGTTTAATGAAAGCCATGAATCGGCCAACAATAGAAATCATAAAATCTTGGATGCTCAGAATTCTTCACGAACTTTCCGCAAACAGGGATCCACGCGTGTAATGGAATGCTAATCGAACAAAATTCCACACCACTTTTCACCCATCGCTTCGCCTACGCAAGAACAAACGACAATTCAAAAATCAACATCGTTAAAAAAAAAAAAAAAATGGATTCTCGATCCCATAATAAACGCTCGAAACAATTTTATGCTGAAATTCCGTTTTCTTTTTCGTTTCCACGTAAAAGATGAGATGACGCGTGTAGAAATGTTAAAAAAAAAAAAAAAAAAGAAAAAAGAAACATTGATAAAAATCTCGTTTAAAATTCATAATTTATCATTACATATATCTCACATTCCCTACTTCCGTTTTTAATTGCCGTTTGTTCCCGTTTTCAATTACACGTTGAACGGGCGTGTGACGTAACGCGAATTAAAATTCCAAGTCGAAGATTCCACGGTTACGTGATCCACTTTTTCACGCGCATCGCACGAATTTCGTTAGCCGAACTAGTCGTGTAAACTCTGGTTACGGGAGGGGGAAGGGGGGAGGAGGAGAGGGACGCAACGGAGAGTGGATCGATTCCATTAGAGGAGAAGTTTAAAGTTTAGCATTGTTACACGACTGACCTTTATAGGCAGCCGAGGGTTCCGCCCGTTCAAGCTTCTCACGAAAATTTCTTTCTGCGTGCGTTTCGAGATTTTTCTTTAATTCGAAGCGTCGATAGAACGCTATATACTACAAGCCTGATCATCAAGCAATTTTCATTTCTTCGATAACGATTAACAGCACTTTAATAAACTGCCTGTCTAATCTTTGGAACAGAAACTTCCTCTGAGAGTGTTTTAAATGATTTATTAACGATGTATATGTGATAATAACACGAAATGATCGAAGGATATAGATAAATTATTGTGTACTTTCCATTACATGTCGGATGGTTGCGTGCAAGAAGTTGTCGTGTCGCTGTAATTTTTGAGCTGGTCGGCGAAAGATAGTAAATAAATACGTGAAAGGTGTCTTATACGTTTGAAAGTGGATCAATTTTTGTCACATGTTGCTCGAATACAAGAAGAGTAAGTAAGTATTTATTATTCTCAAAAAAAAAAAAAAAAAAAAAAAATGTATATTTGAATAATAAAAAAATATTAAAGATAAATTTGTGTAACAGTTGCTTGATAAATTAATAAATTAATCATTACGAGTTTACTCGTTAGATTGGTCATACTCGAAAGATCACGGTGCTGCAAAGATGCTCATTGAGCACGAGGAAGGTTTGTTTACCCTGACCTACTTCCGGTCAAGTTCATTGCTCATCCACGCCACGTTGTCCTCACCTTGCACGCGTACCGATCTCCTCTCTTCCCGATTCCTTCTCTGCGCTCATCTGTCTACGTTCCATCTTCCACACCTACGATAGGGAAGAAACAACGATCGTGGTAACCCCGTTCCCCCGATACATCGTGTTTCAATAGTGGAAAAAAGACGAGGCAAAAGTGGAACGTCTCTTTTTCACCATTTAACAAATATACGCCTACGTTATTCGCGCGATGGAAACTGGACGCGTTTTGAAAAATTGAGAAGGCAAATCTTGCTCGCTCGATATTTCTTCTTTTTTCTTTTTTTTTTCCCCTTTCCGATTATTCTAACGTAATATCTTGGAAACTGTAATATTTGTTTATCTTTAACGATTTTTTTTTTTGTTTAATTAACAGACAATCTGCTGCTCACTTTGTTAGATTGAAAAATGTACAAAAAGAATGTTCCAGTTTTTTTCTTTTTGGAATAGAAATTCTAAGATATGGTAGATTTTGTTTTTATATAAATAATAATGCGAGTTAAAAACAGTGTAAAAATTTTAGATGTGAGAATCAGTTTTAGAAAGTATCTTTCACCGTGACTCATTTTGTTCTTTCAGTTTTGTTCTTTTAAAAGAATTAAAGCATGTTTTGCACATATTTTAATGCAAAGATTAATGGAAATATAATAGAATAATAATTCTTTGAGGTTAGATAAATCAAATGCAAAAACAATTAAATCACTTTTTTTTTTAAATAATAATAGAGGTAGAAGTAGACTAAATAAATATTTTTATGAAGACGTATTATTACGAGCCTACCATAAAGGATAATTAATCTTAATTGTCGCTTCCGTTCGTAAAGCGATAAATCTGTGCAATACGCTTCACTTAAGACATTTATCAATTTTAATTTTAATCGTTTAAAACGAGTTGATATGCAAGGATAATCTTCGAGAGAACACATCGATTACAATTCATCGATAGAGATGGCATGTAATAATACAAAACAATAACATAATTATTACTCGAGCAATCTCCGTAATTCTAATTGAAGAGATTAACATTTTTATGTTTCGTTAACTTCACGCTACGATATTACTTAAATTAAACTAAGATTCTTGGCGAATTGTTACATTTAGTGCATTTTAATTGAGATAGAAAATATATGTAGGAAATTTATGGATATTTTTGAGGTTAGGATAATTACAACGATTGCTCGACATTGCATTAAAGAACAATTAAATTTAAAAATAAAAAATAAACAGGGTTATTTTTTCTTGTAATAATATCTTTGAGCCAATAAATGGTTTCTGAAAATGATCGAGCCAAGTCTTTCGAGAATTTCTCGGTCATGTTTGCCATCCGGCGAGAATCCTCTATAATTTCATTACTTCCCTTAGTGTTTCCCTGGAGTAGCGACAAATTGTGTTCTTCTTTTTCTGCTTCAAGCAAGGTAACGAAGAAAATGGAAGTTCTGTGAAGAATATGGAGACTTAATGAACGAAGAAATTTGATAACAAAGAATTATTTACATTCATATGGAAGATTATTTTTAAAGATTACCATTAATTTAAATACAATAACAAATAATAAAAATAAAATTCTCTTTGTTAACGTACCATCACACAAGATTCTAATTACACGTAATTATAAATGCGATCTTCCAACAAATATCCGCTAAAATAAATTTATTATAATTAAGATTAAAACAATATTTCCAATGAATTTTAAACATATTAATACGTGAAAACAAATTAATTACGTAAGGAAAAGTAAACGAAGTTGTCCTAAATTCCACGTTCAATCGATAGTTGTGTATACTTAGCAAATATAGAGACCAAGAAACGAGCCAACTTGCGTGTCCAGCGAAAGGAGTTCCCAGTGGAAGTCGATACGAATTATTAAAGTAATTACACGGAAAAAGCACTACTAGAGGCTGGACACCGTGGAGGAATGTATATTCTGCCTTGCTTTCACCTGCCGTCGATATCCAAACCTGAGACCGACGATGTTGTCACAAATACAGGAATCCATTGTCTTCGTGATCAATTGCATCCAAGAGGGTAATCCATCGTTTCTGCTCTTTCATTTATTCTCTGGAAATAATGCAATACGGATGAAGAATAGGTTAGAAAAGTGTATGGTTATGTTCGACATCCAATAGCTGTGTTTCTAATATGACGAGAAGAAAAAGAGTTAGTTTGGTAAGATGGTTACCTGAGGGCGTTCCTGTGTACCATCGTGGAAACACGATCCACGTAAAATTAGCTTGCCAGTTTCCTTTCTTTTTCTTCATTTTTCTCCGTCTTTTTTTTCTTTTGAACATACTTTTTCGTTTCAAGCTTGTTGGAGATAACTAGAAAAAATGATGTAGATTTTTAGGTTAGGTTTGTGCTCGTTAACGAGAATTTTTGTCAAGGAAAATTTTGATTGTATAAATTATGATGGCATTGAATTTTTTAAAGAGCAAACGAAAAAAGGAAGCACGAGAACGAATAAAGGAAAATAGAAAATTAGAAAAGGAAAAAGGGATAAGAGAAAAAGAATTAACAAAGATATAAGATAAAATGAAAAATCGTAGGGAATAGAAGTGACGAAGGAAATCTCGCTAGTTCAATTTCACAAGGACATCTGGTGATCTAATCGTCGAAGTACTTCGATCGATCGCTCTCCGCTCTATAACAGTGTACTTAAGTAGAATAAGAGATGTAAGAAAGATTTAATTCGTTTTATCATATTGCAAATGAATTTCTCACTTTCTGTCAATTATTGATATTCACTCGCGAGAAGAAGATTCTTTCTAACGCGAAATCTTTTCTCGAAACATCGAAATATTAAAATGTTTTACATTGGGCGTTGCAAGTAATCGAAGCTTGTATATAAGTGATCCGTTACTTTCTAAATTCTTGTGCGTCTATGAGTAATAATAAGCGATCACGTAGCATTGCGTTTTATCAAAAACCGACGTGGACGTGTTCGTAAATGAAACGTTACATTTTTTTTTTTTTTTGTTACGTGCAAGATTAATTCTTAAATCACGTATTGTCCTGGTAAAAACTGGTAAAAATTCGTCTACTATATATAAAGATAGAAAGGAGAGGCGTTAAAAATGCGAGTTTGATTAGTGATTTCCGATAGGCTTGTGTGCATAAAAATAAGTATCGGCAGAAAGTTTCGCATCAATAAAACAAATCATGAACAACGGAACGAATAAATTCCGACAAAACAAATGGGACACTCCTCTTATTCTATCCTTCTTTTTTTATGTTTGTAAAAACTTGAATTTAATTACTTGCCAAATTACATAGTGATTAAATTATTAGAAAAATACAAACGTGAAATAGCGAAACGTAATATATTTTATCCGTGTAACAAGTCACACAACAATCTTATATAAACTTATAACAATATCCAAACACAGTTATAACAGTTATAAGTTATATTATTTTTATTATTATTACAATCTACCATCATGAAAATTATTATAAATATCAAGTGGCATAAAAATGTTTGCAACAAGGAAGAAAATGAAAAATCTTAAAAACAACTTTGCTGAATATAAATGAGATCCGATAAAGAGATCCGAGGTATCTAGGTCTGCCCGGTATCTTTTCCCTTTCACCAGTGCCACACGACGAAATGCAATTTTCTACGTGTATCCACCGCACGCTCATACGTGCTTTTGTTTCGACGCAATGTGCGCATGTGTGCGGATCACACGAGTTAACGTAATCACGTGTGCGTACAACTCTACACGGCTCTTATTTAGGGCGTACTCGACGACCTTAAATTACGCGCGATTTTAGAATCGGGATGCTACGCACACATTACAAAATTCGCATAAGAGACGGAGACAATGCGAAGGATGACACGTTATCTCTGAGCCTTTCAACAGAGGGGTCGAGTACATGGGAGCGGAATGGTACTGGATACCGTGTAATCATCACAGCTCGCCGTGTATCCGGGCATTGAATTCGCGGATTCCCCTCGGCCTCCTTCGAATCCTTCTCATTGTACGCTTTTAAATTTCGCAAGAAGGAGTAGGACCTCCGATCACTAGAGAGAAACGATCAAACGTGTAATCAATTCAACCAAGATAACACCCTGATGTTGCAATTCTTCTCCGGAGAATAATTTTTTTTTTATTAAAAAATATGAATAATTAATGGATTTTATTTAATGAGGATATTTTTAATTTAACCGATTTCGAATTTTAATACGAAGAAATTACGATAAAATATTGATCTACGTATTAGCATATGTATAATTTACTCTTTTTATCAGTAATGCTAATAAAACGCGAGATGTAAGAGTTTCGAAACAAGGACATTGAAAGCTACGTTGGTCCATAGCATGAGAGAGGATAAAAAGGAAACGATAATGACGTCTACAGTTGACGCATTTCCTGACAATGCCTAGCGAGACGTGATCTTGGCTACGACTAGTTTTTCCAATTGTTTTGCATAGACTTATTTCGATTACGCGATACCGTTCCTAGAATGGCAAAAGAACGTTATGTATTGTCATCGTTGTCCCACTACCAGCAACCTACACGCGTCCATACCACTTTGTACCACTTATACCATTATAATACCACTTGTAAATGCTATTCTTTCAGTGAAACGGAAAAAGTTATACAATTAGCAAGAATATTCCGTTCGACTGGAATATAATGGGGTAGAGAACGATATACCGTTATATAATTCTTCTATTAACGACCGTTACGTTCGATTTAGGTTGAGTTGTCTTCGATAAAAGGCGTCCTGCCTTGCGACGAAGTTTTTCTTCCTGGTCGGAGAATCATAACGCATGGAAGCACCGTGCAAGCTGTGGCCAAGTGAGTGACCCACGATCGGTATATCGCTTGGGTTGCGTAACATGCTCTACAAGCGCGCCACCTCTCACTTCTCTCGTTCAAACTGACGGTTATACCTCGTGCTCGGAAAAGCTGCTTGAAATTCGATCCGTTCGAACGGTGATGTTTCGTGAAATCTTATATTAGATTAGGTGTAGAATATTTTAATTCGTTGCTTAAGTAACGCGAAGGATGATCGCGAATGAAAAATGAATATTAGATAACGTGTATGTAGCGTGATACGATAGGATTTTAGTGTCTTTTTTTGCGTAATGTTATATTAAATTGCAACCAGCAAAATATTGAAAAAAATGTTGGAAATATTGAAATCTAGTTGACAATTTAGAAGCATATTTAATTAAGAGGTAAATAATCTAATTATGATTACAGTTAAATACAGTTTAGAAAATTTAACAACATTATTTATTGAATTCTAAGTGGAATACTTTTCAAATTTCTAGAACGAAAGAGAAAATAACGATTGTATAAATTTATATAAGGGAAAAATTGTAAGTATCATCGATGTAAATTTATCTTAAATCGTTTTATTACTTACTGATTACTCTTAAACGTATTTTTAACGTAAAATCCTAATTAGTTTTTACTTATATATTTTTCAGTATCTTTCATATTTGTCGCACGAATATCACTTTCATTTTTGCTAATCTTTACTTATTATATTATTATTATCATTTGCGTTAAAAGATATTTAATCTAGAAAATATTCGCAAGTTTACACTGATCTTCATCTTTATCAATATATAGAGGAAGAAATTAAGAAATCAGGATCTATTTCGATTGGCAATTGGATCATCCTGATCGACGAGCACGTCTATAGGAATCGATGGAGTTTCGTGATCCATTAGATCGTAACGTTCGATCGATGCAACGTTCAACTCGTACGTGAATCGAGTTCGACGAGCAGAGTGATTTAGAACGTGCTTAACTTCTGCAAATCCAAATGGTTGCGTAAAGGTAAACTAGTCTTTTCTACACCATATTTATGAAACGAGGAATATTAATACCTTCTTAAGACTTAAGTACCGGAATCAGAATTTAGAATTCTATTTTTGATCATATATTTATATGAGATCCACGATTTGGATTTGATTAAAATCAAAGTTTTCCAAAATCCATTTCAATTATTACCAATTTTTCCTTCAAACCATATCTCTCAGCTTAATACACCCAAATACATAAAGAGATTTGACGAATTGTCGATTGCAAATAAATATATCTCGAAACAAAAGGAGGAGTGCTCTCACCAACGGTTGAGTGAATTTCTCTAAGAAAAATGTGTACTTTTCAGAGCAACGGTGGAAGGATGCGTGGTATTACTCGATGGAAAAAGATACCTGGAATTGTCTCAGTTTATACCGGTTGTTCGTGGGGCCAATCGAACGAGAGGCTTTCTCCTGGATCACTCGTTTGCACCGAGTCTCCTCGTCGTCTGGAGGGGATATCTATATAGGCTGTCCAGTCTGAGTGTGCCCCTTCAAACTGTTCGCGATCCTAAGCCCGTGCACGACACCTTGATTTGTTCAAAATTTTCAACAAATCGCTCGATATTCGCTCGCAGTTCGAATCTTCTTCTTCTTCTTCTTCTTTTTTTTTTTTTTGAAAAAGAAACGGAGGAATTAAGCTGGAGGAAGAGAAAAAGGAGAAGAGGAAGAGTGGTGAAATATAGGAAGGGGCACGAGGGACATGGCTCGATCGTGGTGCATTGTGAGAGAGTGCAATTGAGACGAACAATAAGCAGCGAAACGTTAGACGAGTTTAGTAGCAAGCTTTTCATCCCGAGGCGGAAGTCTGCATTCGTCTCTTGACCGTTTGCTGGGATTATCCTGCGCCATGGTGAGTGATTGTTGATACCGTGTTTCAAAAATCGTTTGAACGTATTTTTTTTTTTCTTTCTCGTTTTTGATTTCGGATGAATTTAATTCCTCACTCAGGTAAAATTTGTAGTAATATTAGATTTAACTTAATTGATTCATTGCATTTTATAGATTAAATATTTGTCGAAATAAAACAAGATAAAGGATATTATCTCGATTCCACACTTTCTATCGTTAATGAAATTAAATCGTGCATTGACTTATCACACGTGCTTATACGGATTAGAGGAAGTAAATTATGGAAAGTAGCATTTCTCTTTTATATTAATTAATTTAAACTAATATATGAATCAGCGACAAATACTTGAAAATATATCGTAATAAATAAAGTTCACTTAATATTTTTTATATGATTGAACTCTAAGTTACAAAAAGGGGTCGAAATTAGTATCGTTAATAGAGATAAATTTATTTCTCTTTTTTCTCACGTTCTTCAAAATTTTCTAATTAAAAAAATAGGTTACTAGAATAGGCTGCTACATTATAAAATAGAAAAAAAGACACGGTTATTCTAAGAAAAAGAATTTCCTTTGTTTAAAAAAAGAGAGAAAAAAAAATCTAGATGCAAAATGGAATAATAGGCAAAATCGAAGTTCTGGCGGTGGAGGAAGAAATGGGGGTCAGTGTGTGAACAGCTTCGCTCCTTATGTCGCAATTCAAGAGGTCGCCGACCGTTTTCCTTCTTCGATCGTATTACTGTGCTTCTTTCTCTTTTCCTCCTTTTA